TATGGGTTCCAGCTCTAACCAGGAAAATATAAGATGTGCTATATCACCGTTGTTTCTTAGAGCTGAATGGTACTCCATGGTATACATATACCACATTTATTAATCCATTCTTGGATTGATGGGCACTTGGGCTGTTTCCACAGCTTGCAATTATGAATTGTGCTGCTATAAACATTCGAGTGCAGGTGTCTTTTTTTGTAGAGTGTCATTGGATCTTTTGGGTGATGCCCAGCAATGGGATTGCTGGATCAAACGGTAGATTCACTTGTATCGCTTTAAAGTATCTCCATATTGCTTTCCACAGAGGTGAACTTGTTTGCAGTCCACCAGCAGTGTAGAGTGTTCTCTTCTCTCGCATCCATGCCAGCATTTATTGTTCAGAGACTTTTTGATAAAGGCCATTCTCACTGGAGTTAAGTGATATCTCATTGTGGTTTTGATTTGCATTTCCTGATGATTAGAGATGTTGAACATTTTTTCATATGTTTGTTGGCCATTCTGCTGTCTTCTTTAGAAACTTTCTGTTCAAGTCTTTGCCCACTTTTTAATAGGGTTATTTGATTTTTTCTTGCTGATTTCGTGAGTTCTAAGTATATTCTAGTTATCAGTCCCTTATCGGATGCGTAGGATGCAAAAATTTCTCCCATTTGTAGGGGGCTGTTCTTGAGACTTTCCACTGTATTTTGTAGTTCCTTGAATTGATTCTTCATTTCCAGGAGTTCAGTTAAACTTTTCTTCATTGTGTCTATTTCTTTAGTGAACTTTTGTTCTAGGTCCTGGAGGCTTTTTGTGGTTTCTTTGTGTTGGTTAATGAGTTGTTCTTGCAGGTCAGTGAGTGTTCTTATGATCCACATACGAAATTCCTCTTCTGTCATTTTGGTTGCCTGATTTTGGTTGGTGACTGTTTCTAGGGGGCTGGTGCTCCTCTTTGGGGGTGTGTTTTCCATTTGGTTCTTCATATTTTCTGAGTTCCTTCCCTGATTTCTTCCCATGTTGATCAGTTGTTGTTTCTTTTCTTTAGGTTTTTGTTTGGGTATTCACACGCCTTGTTTAGTTTCTGAGCTGGTAGGTGGTGTCTGTGGGTGAGATTCGACCACTCCCTGTATAATGAGTCAGTAGGTGCCATGAAAAGGCTGTGCAGGATGCCCTCCCTGTCAGTAGGTGGTGCTTGCCTGGAGGAATAAGCTACGCTGTTGTTTTTGTGTCCTGTTATCAGCTCTTGTTCCTGTAGGGAGGCACTCTAGTGCCTCAGGTGGTCGGTGGGGCCTTGGGACTTCCAGGTGTGTCCTTTTCTCCCCCTCTGTGAGGACTGGTTTAGGAGAGAGTCTGGGAGGAGCTGGGTTGGGTAAGCCTGCCCTCAGGCAACACCAATGTCGTTAGCAGGGGTCAAAGTTCTGTTCTCTGTTTCCAGGAAAAGCTGTCGGGGAGGGGCTGGAATGGCCTGCTCAGTCAGAGTCTGCATGTGGGGGTGGGGCTGTCTGAGACCCGCAGTCTGGAGCGGGCCTCGCTTCTTTCCACCCTCCCCAACTCTGCAGCTACTCCTGGGCCTCTGCCAGCAGGCCAGACCACACGCCACCAGGCCTCCCAGGACTGTGATGCCAGCGGGGAGGTTCCCTGTGCAGGAACGCCACCTGGGCTGGGCCTACGGCCTCCTTTTGGGAGGAGGGTTGCCCTCTAGGACGCTGATCTGCCCCTGAAGGCACACACACCTCAGTAGGCTGTTCACGTATATCCCTTCTGTACCCTGGGCAATGCAAGACCTCGGTGCACAGGATCTGGTCTGCAGGTCTGACCTCTGGGTCCTAGAGTTCAAACTGTATCCCCACCAAGGAGAGGAGTGCCGGTCCCAATTCACCCACAGGGAGCCCAAGCTGGGTCTATGTCTCTCAGCCTCAGGGTCTGCACCGTTCTCCTGCGATCACCATGTCAGCAGCACCTGGGAGGGCTGGCGGGTAGGGAGCTCACAGTCTGAGTTCCCTTAGTCAGCTGTAGGGTCCCAAAAGGGAAGATTCTGTTCTCTGGAGGTGCCTCCGGCTGGTGGCTATATTGTCTCTTTGGGCAGCCACAGGTAGGGTCGGCGGAGGGGAGAAGGAGGCAATATGGCACCTGCCGCGCGGCTCGGGTCTGTGCACACGGAGGGTGCCCCGTGGGATTTGGGAGCCTTGTGTCGCATCCACTACAGGCTCACCGCTAGCTGGCGGCGGGCGTCTCTGGGCTGGTGTCCGCAGGTCTCTCCACCCGCTGGGGAGCCCCCCAGCAGTCTCAGATGCAGGGGAGGGGAAATGGCATACCCACCTACCCTTCCCGCTGGTCTCCGGGCTGCTCCAGCGGTCTCAGCTTCCAGTTCTCCTCTGCAACGTCCTCCTATGGAGTCTCCCAGGGTCTCAGGTACCCCTCCTTCCGAACCTTGTCCGCTGTATGCTTGTCTTCTTGCTTCTTTTTTCTAATTTCTGCTAGAATCTGTCTTTTCTGCAGAGACACTTTGTCGGGTGGTTTTTCTCGTCCGCCATCTTGATCCTCCCCCTCCCCTTTTGGTTTTTGAGTGGCCAAAAGACTCGACAGTAAAGACTCAGCAGCTTGGGCATGAATTCAGGGTTTTAAGACATTAGGTGTTCTTAAACCCTTAGAGACCTTGCTTTCCTCTTGTCTTGGCCATGGCACATGATGAGCTCATGCTTTATCTTGCATAAGTCTCAAAACCTTCTTTGGTTTCCCAGGTGCATGAAGCTTACGGTCAAACAGAATGCACAGGTGGCTGTACATTTACATTACCTGGAGACTGGACATCAGGTAAGTCCTCCATCTGCTGGGCACGAGGTGCAGCGGTTGGAAGAATGGTTCTAACTGGACTAGGACTTTGGAGTTTTGATAATATGAATAGATGCCAAGGCTCTGGACTATCATGGCAAATGCCAACCTCAATTTGTGTGTCCAGGCCTGCCTATCTTGGTTATTCTGCATTGATGCCAGGTGATTTTTCAGTCTTACTCTCTTAGAGTCAATCCATAAATATGTCAGAAATATGCCTGGAATTATTACTGCTTTCTGGTTTCCCAGTTTCCCAGTTGATTCAGTGTGGTATGTTCTAGGCCATGTTGGAACCCCCATGGCTTGCAATTATGTGAAGTTAGAAGACGTGGTTGACATGAACTACTTTTCAGCGAACAATGAAGGAGAGGTGAGTAGGTAGTGCCCTGTAGGCAGACAATCATGGTGGGGATGTTTATATTAGAAAGAGCATGTAATTATGAACAAGCTTGGGGTTGACTCTTTCAAGATCTTTAGCAAGGGCTTAAACATCTCTGAGCCTCACTTTTCTATCCCCTACGATGTGGACTAAAACCTGGTATTCTTCACAATGTAGTGGAAATCATCAGATGATTTAAGGTGGGAGCAGGTGTTTTATAAAGTGCTCATTCTGGGAGTAGCAGTCTTTGCCATTGTTACCACCTTGTACCATCTGGTGTGCAGATCTGCATCAAAGGCCCCAACGTGTTCAAAGGCTACCTGAAGGAACCTGAGAAGACACAGGAAGTCCTGGACAATGATGGCTGGCTTCATACAGGAGACATTGGTCGCTGGCTCCCGGTGGGTGTTTCTTCATAACTTCTGGGAGTCTGTGCTGCTGGACTGGGGTGAACGGTCTGTTTATAGCAAGAGGGGCAGAAATGCAAGTAGGTTAATCAGCTGAGGCAGCCGGAGGGGATTAGATAAGTACACTACCTGACTTACGGTGTCCTCATACTGTAAAGAGAAGAACATACAGTTGAAAGAACCAAGGCTGGGAGTTGGGGGATCTGTGTTCTAGTCTCAGTTCTTCCATGGATCAACTATGTGTGATTAGGAGCTGCCAAAGCTAGAAAGATCTCCTTTCTCTAGGCCAAAGAATACTTTTGCTAGTTTGATCACAATGTTGTAGAAGACATGAAGACATAGCCCAGTTGAAGGGTTTTCTTTTTGCCTTATTCCTTATCAAATACACCACATGCAGTAGTTAATTTTACCAACACTATTTCCTGACCCAATTCAAGGTGGGATTCTTTAATAGGTCAAACAGTCCTGAATCTCAGAGTTGGCATGAATCCCTTGCAATGGAATAGATTTGCTCACAGCCAAGGAAAATTAGATGACTATTCCAGGAAAGGGGGTAGGGAAGTATGGCATTGCTTGCTTGCTTGCTTGCTTGCTTTCCTTCCTTCCTTCCTTCCTTCCTTCCTTCCTTCCTTCCTTCCTTCCTTCCTTCCTTCCTTTCTTTCTTTCTTTCTTTCTTTCTTTCTTTCTTTCTTCTTTCTTTTTCTTTCTTTCTTTCTTTCTTCTCTCTCTCTTCTCCTCTTCTCTTTTTCTTTCTTCTTTCTTCTTTCTTTCTCTTTCTCCTTCCTTCCTTCCTTCCTTCCTTCCTTCCTTCCTTCTTCTCCTTTCCTTTCCTTCTTCTTCTTTCTTCTCTCTCTCTCCTCGTTCTTCCTTCCCTTCCTCCTTCTTCTTCCTTCCTTCCTTCCTTCCTTCCTTCCTTCCTTCTTCCTTCCTTCCTCCCTTCCGTTCCTTCCTTTCTTTCTTTCTTTCTTTCTTTCTTTCTTTCTGACTCTCTTTGAGGCAGAAATTGTGGTTTGTTATCTCTTGGGTTCGCCTTATGAGCTTTCAAGAGATAATTCCTTCCCAATTAATAGAGACATATCAAAACAAGGCAGCATGATTTCTAGATAGTGTTTGTAGAAGCTAGTGTTTGTCTCTCAATGACCTACCCAGCTCCTTTCTGTGGAAGACACACAGACATTTTTATTTATTTATTTTTTTTGAGACAGAGTCTTGCTCTGTTGCCCGGGCTAGAGTGCCATGGCATCAGCCTAGCTCACAGTAACCTCAAACTCCTGGGCTCAAGCAATTTTTCTGCCTCAGCCTCCCAAGTAGCTGGGACTACATGCATGTGCCACCATGCCCGGCTAATTTTTTCTGTATATTTTTAGTTGGTCAATTAATTTCTTTCTAATTTTAGTAGAGACGGAGTCTCGCTCTTGGTCAGGCTGGTTTTGAACTCCTGACCTTGAGCGATCCTCCCGCCTCGGCCTCCCAGAGTGCTAGGATTACAGGTGTGAGCCACTGCACCTAGCCCACAGAGACATTTTTAAGCACAGCTTGCTGATAAACATCAGCAGTAGTCATGGTCAATCCTGGCTGTTTTCCTAAGGGAGAAAAGTATTGCAAGGTAATGATGGATCCTTAGAACCCCTGCAGGAGATTTTCCAAAGAGTCTCCCCTCTCAAAATTTTGTCTACTATGTATTAGGGGAGTGGGAATGTACCTACAACTTAAAACTCTTTTCTTGCTCAATCAATATTTAAGTGAGATTCAAGGAATGCTTGAGAATGAGACCTCTAAGATGTATTTCATAGACTTGGGTTTAGTAGTATCTTGCTAACATATCTGTTTCAGTTTAATAACTGTTCCCTATTCTGATACCCATAGGATGTAGGCAATAGATACGTTGCCACACCTGAGTTATAGAAGGCTGTATCTTGTTAATCACTTTCAAATAATGAATGTTTGGGTGAATTGATGGCTAATTTCTTGATGGTTCTTGTTGATGGTTCCAGGGTTAGTTCAGTCATTTGCCCTACTTAGAGTGTGATTATGTGGATTATATTTGCCACTTGTCCCAATTCTATAATTCAAACTTCTGAAAACCTAAGCTCCTCAGACCCATTAGCTCAGAGAAATGAAATTGCAAATGACCTCTGGTGGCTGGTCAGAGAGCTCTCCCAGCTCAGCTTCTGTCCTAACAAGCCCAATGAGGGACTTGATTAGCACAGTGGAGCTGGTGTAGCCTGCTCCTGGCTCTAACAGAGACACCTAGCAAGGAGTCAAGGAGGGGGCTAACAACTGAATTCAAGTCTTGATAAAAGGTTAACTCCTTCCCTATTCCTGAGAGTTCTGGAATTGGAGTAATTGGAAATTAAGTTATTGGAAATTGAAGTTTCTTCTTTGGGTGAGGCACCCATTTACATAACCCCAGTAGGTCCAGGGAACTATCTGTGAGGCTGTACATTGACATGCCACATAGATACACAATATAGAGAGGTTTGTGCTGGAAGCTGCTTCCCTCCTTTCTCCAAAGCTAAGAAAGAGAAAAAATGAAAGACTGCTCACAAGTTTCTGGAGAGATCAGCTTTACAGAAGAAAGGTAGCTGTGACTTTACCACTCTCCCCACTGATAAACACCCCTACATCTCAAAAATATTGATCTTTTATCTGTCTCATATAGAATGGAACTCTGAAGATCATTGACCGTAAAAAGAACATTTTCAAGCTGGCCCAAGGAGAATACATTGCTCCAGAGAAGATAGAAAATATCTACATCAGGAGTAGACAAGTGTTACAAATTTTTGTACATGGGGAGAGCTTACGGGTAATACATTGTTTTTTAACAATAGCCATTTTCAGGCACAGACCATGCTGGTTTCTGTAGCTACAGGGAATTTATACAGGTCAGCTCAGGATGAGAAGATCCTAGCTTATGAAACTAATAAAATGAAACACTCTAAACCTCAAATAAGGCAATATCAGTAATTTTTTTGAAAGTATGATAGACTTTGTAAACAAGCCGGCAAAATTGTTTATACAGTTGTACTAAAAGATAACCATTTAGTAATAAAAGAACTCCACTTTGCACTTGGTTTCCACTCCAATAGGAGTGCCTCTGGCTCAATAAACTATTTTATATGTACTGTGCTTAAATTTAGCTTTTTAGGGGTTGGGTGTGTGGGTGGGTTGACATGGGCAGGCCAGAGATGCTTTAAGCTTAATGTTAAAGACTCACATTTGGATAGATCATCTTTGTAATGAGATGCTGAGTGGGAAAATGGAGTAGAGTTCTTTGGGGGTTTGAAATATATAGTGAGAGAAGAGTAGGACACTAGTACTGAATTTGAGGTTTGGTGGAAATACTCATTACGATCATATAATCCTGCTTTCTTTACCCACTGGGGGACAGTGCTATGCTAATTCTCACATGCCCATACACCATTTATATCCTTTCCACAGTCATCCTTAGTGGGAGTGGTGGTTCCTGACCCAGATGTGCTTCCCTCATTTGCAAACAAACTTGGGGTCAAGGGCTCCCTTGAAGAACTGTGCGAAAACCAAGTAAGTCTTGCTCTGAAAAGTTCTATGCACACTCGTGGGCCCATCATGCCAGAGAAGAGTCCCTACCAGCTGGGACACCCATGAGCTCCCAGAGCCTCCTTTTTGGAGGAACAGATACATCTACATCTGTGACAGGTGGCTGCAGCCCCAACAGATTGAATAGTTGTATGAGAATGGAGGTTAGGATTCGGAGTTCAGAAAACAAAAACTCTATCCTTTTTATAGTAGTATGTTCATTATGGGGAAAAATTGGAAAATAAGAGTAAAAAAAATGCCACCCTCCAAAAAAAAGGCCCTAATATTTAATTAGGGTTAATATTAATGTCTTTTCATTTTTTCTTGGATAAATATTGGGTATATAATGTGCTTGTACGTATTTTATATCCTTTTATCCTGATCAGCTCTTACAGGCATTTTGAGTTGGTTTATGCTTAACCTTTCATTTAGGCTCTTTTTCAAACAGCCTCACTTTAAGTGATGTTTTATCTTCCTAGGTTATAAAGGAAGCCATTTTAGAAGACTTGCAGAAAATTGGGAAAGAAAGTGGCCTTAAATCCTTTGAACAGGTATACACTACTACTGATATTATTCTGGTCTCTCATCATATTAGAGTTTTATTTAAAGTTTTCATTTCTCACGGGGTTTAAATGTATAATAAAGAATTGGTTTTAGATTTTATACCATTAACTACAAATGGCAATTACCTTTTGTAGTTGTACAGTCCCTTTTTGCTGTTGATTATTCATTCTCTCTTCTCCATATTCATTTCTTTCCCATATGGCGAGTTGTAAGAATGGGCATGTGTGACTATTATCTTTACTCTCCTACTGCATTGACCTCACTTTCTTCACAAGGCCTTCAGAGGGCTCTGCAAAGAAGTCCAAATTACTAATAAGTGTGTGTATATGTTCATTTCCTTTCCCAGGTCAAAGACATCTTTCTTCATTTAGAGCCATTTTCTATTGAAAATGGGCTCCTGACACCAACACTGAAAGCAAAGCGGGCAGAACTTTCCAAATACTTCCGGACCCAAATCGACAGCCTGTATGGGACCATCCAGGAGTAGGTTAAGGTACTTAAGGCTGGAAGGGGCTCAAGGCAGCCTGCCTGCCGAGTCTGCACTGCTTGTGGTAATATGGATTAAAAACTTTTTTGGTCTGTCTTCCTATCTGTTGTTTTACCTGCTAAACTATAAAGCCCTAACTTTTGGCATTTTGCTTTAATATTGACTTATGATATGGAAGCTTAGCCCTGAAATAAATAAAATCCTGTTCTTCCTATTTTAAATGTTGCTCATATTAAGGCTTTAGGGCTCCTTTTATCAGAATGCCTGTGTTTAAGGTCGCAGTTTGTATTCTATGTCCCTTTCTCATGATCTCCAACCTTAATGCCATCTTGATAAGTGGCCACAAGATCAAGGGTCAAAGGGAGCTTCTGTAACTTCTTCCTTATTGTTTTATAAGCCTAACTTGCTAATAGTCCTAACACTTATTTAATGTTCAAACTAAGAATATTCTTCTAATATTCAAACTAAGAGATATTTAAGTTCTGAAAAGCAGTTTATAATTCATGTTTTTCAACTATTCCACAAACCACTAAAATTTTAAATTGAGTTTTAACCTATCACTCATATAATATCAGACAAGTTTCTTCCAAAATCTGTGTACAGAAAGGAAGTTTGATTATATCAAACATTTCCTAAACTCACTAGTTAGATCTGAGAATACTAAAAATTAGGACTATGACATGTTTTCCAAAAAGAATGTTCTTAAAGTGTTAGAGTAGCTGGTGACTCAGTCTGTTCCCTACAGTTTGCTGCTGAGCTGGAGGCTGTGGGGGAAGGAGTTGAAACCATGTTCAGTGAACTTTTCCAGGAAATGAAGCAAGCACTGAATAAAAACCTCCTGCACTGGGAATAAAGATCTATTGGGCAAGCATGATGCCCACACTACAGGCTTATCTTCTGTGAAGGAACCAGCTGACCTTCCCCAACCCTTGGATTCCAGTTCCTGTTGTACCTTACCCCAGATAACACGCATTGCTTCTACCTGTAAATGTAAAGTCTTTAAAATAAACTATTACAGATACTTACGTTGTGGCGTTTGTTGCCTCAGGGACCATAATGACACTTAAAAATCAAGTCAACTGGTGGTTCTCAAACTTGGCTGCATGCTAGAATTATGTAGGGAATTTAAAAAGATACTAATGCCTGGGCACCATCCCAGGGATTCTGGTTTAAATGGCTAGGATACAGCCTAGGCATTCAAATTATTTGTTAAAAGGTCCCCAGGTGATTCTAGTCTGCAACCAAGTTCGGTAACTACTGAAGAAAAGCAAGTGGAGAGGACCAGGCTTTCTTATCCCATAGCTGTGAATAATAAAACACACGCAAGCTGGGCCAAAACTCCAACTGAGCATAACTCGTTCTTTCTCCTTTACCACCTTTTTTGTTACTCTAAGTAATCTTGAACAGTGTTCTTTTCTGGCCATTACTGGAGTTAAAGAAAATTTTCTTGGATGGTCTTTCTAGACTTTGAGCCCAGAAAAGCTGAAGAAATGTCTATTCTTGAGTAGCTGAAACAAAGGGGTATGCAGGAACTCAGTGGCAGTTCCCTGCATGGTCCAGCCCTTTTTTAGATCTTTCACTCATTCCAGCTGAACCTCACTGGTTGCCTTCCTATTCATCAAACATGCACGGAACTTTGAGCCTGTTTTTGTTCTCTCTGTTCCCTCCAAAATGCAGATACCCCCAGAAGCACATGACTTGTCCCCCTCATCTGCTTCAAATGCCAACTCAAGACAGTCCCACTTTCTTTCTTCATAATACATGAATCTATCTGACATATATTTTACTTGTCTGTCTACCTTCCTACCCTACTGGAATGGGGCACAGTCACGTTTCATTCATTGCTGTATCCTCAAGTGCCCTTCTTTTATTCCTAATTATTACAAGACTGGCCCCCAAAGCTTCAAATTCCCTGCCTTACATAGAATTAATACTGGATTAGGTTCCTGAAGTCCAGAGAAACAGGCTTTCTCTTTCTTTCTGTGATTTGGCTCATATGTTTAGACAAGCCCAACTTTCAGTATTGGATTCTACAACTTGTGCAAGCTTCAGTCTTTGATATATTCAAATGTACATGAGCACTTTAAACCACTAGTTTTAAAGTCTCCTAGAACATTGTGATCGCAATATGCCATTAGTAAGTACAGTTCATATATTGAAGTGAGTATGTAATGTCTTATGACTCATGATTCAAGATGCCAATTTTTCTTTTTTTTTCTTTGATTGAGTGATTTTAGTCAACGAATATTGATAGGATGCCAATTTTTCATAGGGTAGCAGAACAGTTTCTCCATAAAGAGACTAAGATGAACCTTTTTAGTCTTTCTTCTGGGAACCCTGAAGAAAGCAGGTGGGACAGTTTCCTCAGACATTTCTTACTTGAAAAATGCTTTAAGTAAAAACTATGATTTATAAAGAACATCCATTGACCTTTATTTGATTTGACAAAATCTGCATTATTAAAAGACAGGTAACAAAATTTGAGCTTATAGTGATTCTGACAAACTTAGTTCTATAACATCTAGAATATTATATAAGAAATATCAACTGAAGGGAAAACAAAAGTATCACATGCAGATGCTCCTGGCAAAGGGGGAACTGTATCTGCAGGTGAGGTCCAGAGTGTAGTGCATAAAAAAATCCTAGAGAAAATGCAATTAACTTACTTGGATGAAATGCTTTTCTTTTTAGGGGGAAGAAGAGGTGGTAGAGGCAGGAATTCAAAGGCATATACAGAATGGCTTCTCCATTTCAAAACGGTAACAAAAATATTTAAATCATGGCACTAGGGCAGGGCACCTTTGAGGAAAAGAACACCTTAACCAGAGTAGGCTCATTGCATAATTCTTTAGTAATAGGTAAGATTTTCAAGTAATGGAGCAGACCTAAAGAATAATTGGATTTTCACAGCGGCTATCTATTTTTCTTCTCGCCCTCTGGGGCTTGATCTGTTTCAGCATCACAGGGACACTTTTCCACACAGTTTCTAGGAAACCATCCTCTTATTCTTGAAACACCTGAGGGAGAAAATGAAACTGAGATGAAATAGTCAGATGTACAGCAGTGAAATTACTGAGACCAGTAAGTCCTATTACTTCAAATTAATAAGCTTTTAGGTTTTTTTTCCCCCTTTTCACTGTCTCTTGTAAGCACAGCTTGAGGGAAGAAAATATATGGTTTTAAAATGCTTGTAACAAGCTAGAAAACAGGTAGTTCCCAAATTCTATTATCTGGGAAAGGGGTTAATATGGTGAAAGATAGCTCCTAACTGGAGTCAGGGGGAACTTCTACACATACAATCATGAAAGGAGTTTTTGGTATACCATCACACTACCTCTGTTTCAGGGAACTATTCCCTTGTAGCCTTTGTGAATTTTCAGACTTTTCCTAACATATAAATTTCCATATCAAGATTGCCTAAGCTGGGGTTAATTTATGATTAACTCTGAGTATATTTTTAAAGAATATCTTGAGTGAACCTTTAAAAAGGAACAATTCTGAAGCTCCAAGTTTTTATAATAACTTAAGAGAAATGTTCATTCAAAAGGGGAGCAAATAGCACAGGGGTTTGGTGCACGGAATTTAGAGTCAGACTGCTAAGCTCTAAGCCCTCGGTCTACCTGTTTTTAGTGTGTGGCTCTGGGCAAGCTGCTCAGCCTCTCTGTGCTTAGTTCCCTCACCAATAAGATGTAAATGATAGTACCTAGTTCAGAGATCTGTTTGGGACTTTAATATGATAAGTGAAGCACTTATATAAGTACCTGTCACATAGTTAAGTATGAGCTCAAATATTAGCTATCATTTAAAAACCAGATAAAGGGGGAAGCTTCAAAAAAAAAAAAAAAAAAAAAGACCTGATATATAAACATAAGTGCTATAGAGAATACATAAGACGCTTCTTTTAATTGCTTAATCATGTGCCCCTCTATGCAGTTCCCCCGATGCATTTGGCATGTGATTGTTTATAAAAGTTATTCATGTAAAATTTGGAATTATTGCTAACAGTCTTGCCCTTTAAACATGTCCTTCCATTTCCATACCTATAAAGGAATCATCAAGAATTTTGTCTCCATACAACCAGTATCTGAAACAAAAAGATTAAAATTAAGTTTTTTTAAGGTTAGATGTCAATTTTGTCATGAAAGAAGAAATGTCGTGTCGTACTTCCTGTTACTTACCGCAAGCCTCTTGTGGCTAAAATGAACTCCCCCTTTTGTAGCTTTATTCGAGGCTCTTCAGTGCAGGGGCTTGTGAAGAAGGTTTTGATTCCTTTATTCAAAGGACAGCAGACACCACTATAATCTTCTATTACTTTATAGCGAACCTGTCATCAGTGATCGCAAGAACGATTTGAATATTTACCAATGGTATCTGAGGTTTTTAAAGTTTGAATTAAAAATTTTAAAGGTAGATCCAAATACCCAGTGACAAGCCTTCTTCCCTCCCAGTTTTCCATCCAGCCAGTTCCCTTATAGGAAGCAACTGATGCTTCCAGTTCTTAAGGCTTTTTTTACCCCTCATTTCAAGCACATAGCTAAGAATTAAATTCTAGAGCAGAGCCAAGAGAACTTTCTGCACTGATGGAAATGCTCTATATGTTCTGTATCTGTGGTATCCAATGTAACAGCACTAGACACATATAGCTATTGAGCACTTATAATGTGGTTAGTGTAACCAATAAACTAATTTTAAAATTTTACTTAATTTAAATAAAATAGCCACATGTGGCTAGTGGCCATCATATCTGACAACCTAGTAGTAAGGATGGGTTTCATAGCAGTGAGTCGTAACAACCTATATTGAGGATAATTGTTTTCCTATACTGGCAATATAAATTTACTAAATTATCTCCAAACCTTCAGTCCCAGCTATTTAAATAAAAACAAAAGTGAACTGCATCAAATTCCAACAAATGTACTAAGAATATTATTTAATAAAGGCCAACAGTTGGTTTCTGATCAAAGGCAATTAAAAAAATTACACAGAAGTATAAAGCCCGACAAAGGAAAAAAATTAGTATCATTGCAAAAGAATTACTTACACTTCTGACTCTCTTATCTGCTTTTTGTTTCAACTGTTCTATCTGTTTGGAAGATATAAAAAGAAAAAAATAAGTCTCTTCTCTTAATGTTGAAAAATAGCCTTTCCTCAGCTACTAGCAAAGTGTCAAACCCCCAATTTTCCAGCATTTCAAAGTGCTGACAGTTTAAAGGCTACAGGTTGTTTTGGTATGGGAAGAAGGTCCAATGACTAAGAACCAGGGGCTGACAGTGGGACTTTCTTAGTTTTCACTCTCTAATGTCATCATCTGTGTATATTCCTAGAGAGCCCACTGTGGCCGAAGGATCAGGTATCCTCTGCCCTCACGAAGTTTCTAGGCTAGTGCTTAAGGTGAAGACACAGAGATTCACTGATTCTTTAGTGACACAGACAACAAACTACACATGAACAATGAAGAATATTTAACAATGAAGTTAAATGAATGAATAAAAGTAATCATTATAACTCACTTTGTTTTGACTTAGTAACTATTAAATAGTACTGTTAGAAATATTAGGGGAAATAAAGATAATGCATGGTCTCTGTCCTAGAATCTTGTCGAGTTAAAGATACAAGAATTAAACAAAAATATGAAATTTCATGAGTTCCCACATAGTAATGTATGATTAAGTGCCAAATCCAGATGAGTCTAGAGTATGTAGGTTAGACTTTATGGAAGAGGTGGGACTGGAACTGGTCTTAAAAATTCAAGATAGAGTGAAGGTCATACTAGCTAGAAAAAAAACTGTGGGCAAAGTTCAGTGGCAGGAATGTACAAGGAGTTCATGTGACACTTTAAGTTGGAAGGTAGTTTTTGGCCAGATTTTATAAAACCAAGTTAAGGAATCAGGACTTTATCTCACAGATACAGAGAGTTAAGGAGAGATTTAAGTAAAAGAAGAGATATGATATAAAAAGTACTTAATGTTTATTAACTTAGATTCATTTTGAAATAGGGAAAGTATATGTATTACTTATTTTACTA